TGTTTCCGGTGTCGACCCGCGCTCAGAAACCGAACGTCGGCGTCAGGGACGTGACGACGTTTCACGAGTTTTTCGACAGACGGCTCGTGTTCAACCGCAGGGAAATGCTCCTCCTGTACAACGGTCAAGATAAGATGTCGACGGCAATGCCTCAACCGACGAATCCTTACGAACTGCCAGAACCCTGCTCCAATCCCAACCTCGGCAAGAGGACGGTGCCGTTGGCCCAGCTGCAGAGCATGATCGACGAGGAGGCGACGCTAGAGATCAACGAAGATTTCGACTTTGACGCACCGTACTCCGAGTACGTGGAAACCGTGTGCGGACGTCGCGGCATCGACAGTTTCGGGTCGGTGCTCGCGAGGATGCAATCCCCGCGCGACTTCAACGCCTATTTCCAACCTATCGGATACCAACTTTCGTACGGTGGCAAGGACGCGTACTCGGGCGAGGCCTTCCCGTGCATAACCACCCAACACTGCGGAAGGATGATCACGACTCTGTCCGGCGCGCACGAAACCAGTCGGGAGGCGCGCGCCGGCACCAAGGTCTACCTGGTTGTCGGCATGAGAAAGTGCGACGGACCGACCGTGCTCAATCATCCGTACCCGACGTTGCTGTACTGCGACGATCGACGCCAGCTGCACGAACGCATGAAGGTGGCCAACTACGTTTGCCGGACGAGGAGCGGACGCGTCACGCCGTGCATGGTGAAGGCGATAGGCGAATTCGTCAGCGACTATCGCGGCAGGAACAGGAGTCCGCAACTCGAACTGTTCATGAAGACAGCCTTCGAAGCTCATCATTTCGAGCGATGACGTCACTCGACGTCATGGGGTACATCCTTCGCGACTATAAGTGTGATGCGTACGACTTGGTGTCCGCATTAAACGTTCGAAAGGAGGCATGGGAAAGTCGAAGGAATTAGCAGAGAAGCTACAGAAGGAGTTGGACGAGATGCACCAGTCCAAACGTGCGATGCTGAACGAGATGGATCGTCTGCGAGCTCGAGCGGACGCAGCGGAGAGCTACGGGCACCCGTCGCCCTCGGCGCCCGATTACGTCGGACTGGGACGGGTCGCCACCGGAGTCGAGGTGGACGCCGCTAACAAAGAACTCGACAGGGTGAAGAAAGAACGAGATTTTCTCATGCAGCAGATCGATAGATTTAGAAACGATTGTCAGTCTTTGAAGAACGACGAAAACGTCGGGAGAAGGGAGAGAGCGCTCCTCAGGGAGCAGTTGGACAAAGCGAAGAACGATTATCAAGTTCTGAAGAACATGCTTCCGGACACCGTGAGGTTGTGCAAACAGTACAAGAGCCTCTTGGATATGAACTCCCTGCTGAAGGCTCAGTGCGAATCGTACAAGGAGGACTTCAAGCACGAGCGCCGCGATCGAGAGCTTATGGCATCCCGAAGCAAGTCGTCCAACGAACCGAAGATCAGGTCCATCATCAGGCAGCTCCAGCAGCTGCTGCGGAGAGGACACGACGACGTGGAGGTGGACGGTGCCGGGGGAGGCAACGACGAAGAAAGCAGCAGCGACGAAGAAGATCGCGGTGTGTGTGCTGCTCGTCCGACGAACGGCATTTTCGATCGGTCGATCCCTCCACACTCGGTCGACGTCGAACTGCTCGCCGCGTGCGACAAGCTGCTGGCGCAGCACGGAGAGAATGTGTTTTGAAAAACCAATAAAAGAGGAAACAAAAACAAAATTGTTATTAGTTTCGCATTTGTTTTCTTCTCTATCTAACTTCTATCTGTGTCAAACGAATAAGAAAATAACTATGGACCTGTACGACTTCTCGGGCCACTTAATGGACGGTGCTTTCGGAAGCGTTTACTCGGCGATCAGAAGAGCCGACGGACTGCCGGTCGCCGTGAAGGTAGTGAGAAACTCCTCGGCGTCCTACCTGACGAACGAATCGGGCGAAACGATATTGGCGGAGGCGCATCCTATGCCGTGAAAATCTCGAGTCGCGCCTTCAGAAAAGTCGTCCAGCTGGAGTCCAGTATCGTTCTGCCTCCCTTGTCGTCGGTGCAAACGCGAGCGATTCGCAGTTTTCTACGGAAACTTCTCGGAAGAAGAAAAACACTTCTTTTCCCTCTACAAACGAACCGACGAATTTCGGGTGATTCAGCCACAACGAATCGTGCCTCTTGGTTATGAGAGGAACGGCGTTGCCCATCGACCTCGTCAGTGCGGAATCCCTGCCGTTGAAATCGGCTACCGTCCCGGCGTACAGGCTACCCTCCGCAAAGACGGAAGTTACCTTTTGATCAACGGCGAACGGACAATTGTACAGACCGTCCGTCGCGTTCCTTCTCCTCCAACCACTCTCCAAGTTCGACATCTCGGCATGAATGCACATCGGTTTCTGAGCGTTGGTTCCGCAGATCAACACTCGACCGTTCGTTAAATCCGGAGTTACGATTTTCACATAGTTCTGGCAGTCGTGTTCTTCCTTCCCTTTCAATCTGCACTCCTTTTTGGCGACCGAGTCCGGCATCCAGTCTAACTTCGTAGCCGTCGAGGATTCTAGAGTTCGATCGAGATCGAACACGAACGCCGAGTTGTTCGCGCCCACGAACAAGGTTCGCCACTCCTTCACAACTCGCATTTCGACGATGGGCGAGATGCCGACGCTCGTTGCGAAAGAAACGTCGATTTCGTTCGTAGAAGGCGATTGATCTTCGGTCGGCATAGGATACGCGACCGAAACTAACATCACTATCAGGGCGAAGAGGAACAGCATGCCGATTGTATTCTACTTTCTGCGTCTCGCGTTCATATGTTGATTTCGAAAACAGTTGTTTACTTTTAAACAAGAGATCGTCGAGTATAAAAACAAGAAGAATAAGTAATTCGGGTAGCATTGTTCGTTCGCGACGAACCATGGCGTTGACGTTCAACATCAAACTCGGAGAAGGAAGCGGGACGTACAGGGCGAAAAATGGATTGAGAGGTTGGACGGTCATGTCCGGCTTCGTACAAGGTTTTGCGGACTTTAGACTCGGATGCGGAGAAGACGTCTATAGTTCCGGCGGCCAGATACTGTTGGATCTCTCCTCCGTCGCGACGTGTTCGCGCCCGATCGCAACGACCGTGAGGTTGTTGCGGTTTCTGGCCGAAGACTGCAAGTCGGAAGAGGACTTGGGCGACCTGAACGCGTACGTGTTCGCCGTTTCCGTCGCCGCATACCTGCTTCTGAACGAAGATCTCAAAGATGCGTTGCTGGAACAGACCAAAATCAATCTGCTGGTGTGCACGAAGAATTTTCGCATCGAGGAGATCAACGAATTCGCGTCCAATCTTATGACGTGCATGGACCGATTTATGGCGAACGATCGTCGATGCCTGGATCTTCTCGGCTGTTGCGAACCGTTCGTCTTCGGCGGTCGAGTGACGGAGGCGCTGAACGCCGTCGCCAGGAACGGCATCGAGCGACCTGTTGTGCAGGTGCGGATGAACTTCAGAAACGTCGTCGCTTCTCTCGGCACCACCTCGCTGTTCCATCTTCGATGGACCGAAGGTCGAGGACGCGATTGCCAAATTCTTTGGTGGGGCATCTTGAACGCCGACGAGACCGAGACTCGACTATACCTGATTTTGACGTTCAACCAGGAAAAGTGGTGCAATTCGGTTCTGACCGACAAGCGGACGGTGCACGCTCTGTACGAACTCGCACCTAGGTGGCCGAAGTTACTGAAGTGGACGACAGTGTGCGACGACGTCTCGTGCTACGAGTGTCCTCTGAAGCCGTGTCTCGTTTCAATACCGGAAACGAACTCGGTGTGGTTGGACGTCCAAGCGTGCCATCCAAAAAGGGTGCGAAGGGGATACCGCCTGTCGTTGGCGGAAGGTACGATCGGTTCCGCGACGGCCGACAAGCTCCGCGAGCACAACGCCAAGGAGTTGAACGAGTAGATGCGTCGGAAACGCATTCTCGACGAGAAGCTCCGTTCCGGATTGGAAGCCATCGACAGGTTGGCGTCCGACGTGTGCAGCACTTTGACCACCGATGTTACGGGTAGAAGGAAACGTTTTCACGAGGAGAAGGCCGACGCCGCGAAGAAAGATCTGGACCTCCGCATCGAGCAACTGAACGCGATCGTCGATTCGGACGAGCGGGAGAACAGGACGAAGTGCGGTCCGCCGTCCGACGTTCTGGGACGCCTCCCCGTCTTGCGGCCTTTAGCGGACGTTCGGCCGAACGCGGTTACGTTGGAATTGTCAATTTACTACGGAACGCACCTGTACAGGAGGACGTGAGGATCCTGCCGAACTTCGTTCACGGACAGGCGAAAAGACAAAAACGGGCCACGCAAGGTATTGCGGGTCAGTAACTAACATGCCGCCGACCGAACGAACCGACTCTCGAGAGGCGAGACGCCTGTAACTGAAATGGATGCAGGACAGAAGGAGGGAACTCTTCGCCATTTCGGCGATACCGATCTTCTTCGTAGAACGTTCCCGGAGAGGATGGAACCGTGTCGACGACCCCTTCGAAGTCGTCGATGCTTCGAGAAATGCAAAGTTACTTTAATCAGAGACTGTCTGAACGTCTTCCACCTAGTTCAAAGCGAGGAGAGGAAATTACAGCTCTTCCGGAAGGTGTGGGACACGGTCGTGTTCGTCGAATGCGATCTGTCGGATCGATTTCGACCCCAGAGTTATTCCGTCTCCCGCTTCGAGAAACAGATACGGTTCTCGAGTGCAAACTACCATAAATTACCCAAAACCAGACGTACGTACCAACGAACGAACGAACGAATGAATGAATAAATAAATAAAACTTGAACAAAAAAAAAACATAAACCGGTGTGTTTGACTTTCAATTTGTTAAGTCAGTCTTTCTTTAATGTTTTTCGATGATACTCAAACGATAACTGCGCAGCGTCCCGAGAAAACACCGTTTACGTCGTCTGACGTGACTCCGCCTCGTCTTTGACTTTCCAACGTCTGCAAGATGTCCCGGACCAAATATCGCGGTCCGTCGAGAGACGTCAGACGACCGGCCCTCGATCTTCCTCGGCAATACTTGAACCCCGCGGATCTTCCGCCGGTCCTGTACACGCGATACGTTTCGTCCGAGGACGCTCCGATGGGCTTGTTGGGCAGGAAGGCGCCCGTTGAGGCTGTGTACGCGGTGGAAGCTCCAACCTCCGATGACGACGTCCCGCTCGACATGAGATGGCCGTCGAAGGCGGTGGTTCTCGACGAACGACGGGGCGTCCGGTGCAACGTGTCCTTTTCGAACGCGGAAACAGGACCGCGTGGCGCATCCTGGACACGAAGACGATAGCGTACGTTGGCGAAGAGGCCGTTCGCTCGGAAACGGAGGTTTTGGCACGCATCGCGTCGGAGCCTGTACCGACCTGTTTCGCCGCCGATTACGACGCGTCGTTGCACGACGCTCTTCGAGCTCATTTCGGCGACCGGTACTACGACCCCGTCCTGGACATGATTTCGGTGTCGACCGTCGCGATTAGAACGGGACGGCAACCGGAGAAGCTGCTGAAGGAAATGACGGCGAAACTAATGGCGTGCAAGGTGTTTCCCGTCAGCGGGTGCTGGCTTTCGACGAACAAGACCTTCTACAGGACGACTGCCGGATGGAAGTAAGGCGGCTTGACGTCGACGGAGCTGTTCTCTCACGGCGGAAAGAACATGGAACGTCACGTCGTTCGGCACGATCCCATGAGGTGCGAGATGTGCGTGGAGGAACACTCCAGGTGCTGTCGACCGTCGCATCTGTGCTACGGGTCGACGAAGGCGAACGTCAAGGATATGCGTCTGCGCCATGGCGTGGCCGACATAGTGAACGGCCTGCACGACGACCGAAACCGCGAGGCTTTCAGAAGTCTTATCGATTCTTTCGCCAATCTCGTGATGGACAAGGAACATTGAAAAAATATTTAATTATTAAAGATAAAAACAAACGAAACAAAGTTCGAATATGTTGGTGCGTGTGCGTGTTTGGGTGTATATATATAAAAAATATTTTCGTTTAACCAACAATTCTACATTGATGATATCACGATGTGCAGCAACATGGAGGATGTAAAGGATCGGTTAAGATACACATTTCGTCTTATTCGTGAAGTCAAATGAAAGCGGAAGGAATGCGAATCGACCAACGGAATGGACTTTCGCAAGTTGAAGGAGGTGGATATCGACATCAGACAGATGGAGTTTCTGTTCGAAGAAATAATTAGACTTTTCCGTTCGTGCGTCAATGTGATCAACTACTGTACGGACGAATGGACCGGCGCACAGTGGCTGATCGATGCTTTCGAACGCATCTCGAATTACGTCGGAGAATTCGTCGAAGTCGAAACGAAATGCAGCTTTACCGTGGACGAACTTTTAGGAAAACGTAAAGAGGAACCGTCTTTGGGAGATGCCTGCAAGGTGTGTTTTTTCGAGTTGCCGAGGTGGTTACGACGCCTTGTTATCATTACGTTTCCTGCAAAAGATGCTCTTACCGACTTGGAAGTTGCCCGGTGTGCCGGACGACGACGGAAAGACGTCTGTCGATCGGAGATATTGAAGAGGGTACGCGTGTGTACAGATGTTGAACAAAAAATCGTTAAAATATTTAATAAATTATCGTTAATAGAATAATAAAGAATGCATGAAACAGAAAATATACTTTGTGTGTTTTTACTTTTTATTTTCTCCATTATCCGGAGAACCGATCGATCATGACGAAACATCGGTCCATCTTCACCCAACTGACGACCTCGCACTCGGCGGCGTCCCTCCAAACTTTGTCTTCGCATTTATCATCTCGTTTTAGCAAGGAAACAGTCCAATGTCGGTCGGTGTCCAATCGGAGAGGAAACGATAGGGTCAACGCTTCCTCGGAAGACGATCCAGGAGGACCGCACCCGACGACGGACGGGACCGACGTGTCTCGTTCGTTTTCGATCTCCGATCGCGCCCCTTCGTCCACATAGACGTATATCTCCTTCGTCGTTCTCGGAGGGATCGCTCCTTTCGGAATATGCAGATCGATCCCGGCGCCGACGATGGACAGACGACCTCCTCGGGTGTCGAATATCCCGGCCGAAAAGGTGGACGTTTCGAAACTCTTTCCCACAACTTCTCCAAGATTGCACATAGATACCTTTCTGTTGAAAGTTCGGAGCATCGAATCCAAATCCTTTCGGCATTCGCCGTCGTCGTCATTGTCAACATAACGGTCTGAAATAAACAAACGTACAAAATATTTTTTTTTTAACATTGTCACTTTTATTTCATTTCTGTCTTCGTTATAACAACAACAACATGTACTTTATTTAATT